TGGCTAGTTCCCCTGATCTCTCCCCCATCATAACTCAACTTTGCTTGATTCCAATTCCTAGTCCCAACTAGAAACAGACCCATTGAATTAATGGAATTTACATATGTATTGATTTATTGTCTCAGCCACAGATTCAATGGGACTTGCAATTTGATTTAGGATCTCTGGACTGTCATCGTCTCCACTGTACAACAAACAAACAGAAAATTATCATAATACCTGGAAGACTAACTTAGACCAGCATAAGAACTTATGAATGTTTTGCAGTGACCGCTGTCCAGAAAAGATTATTCCACAATGGAGAGTTTAGTCTCTAAGATGCTTCACAAACCTATTTCATTTTGACTACAGAAGGCTAACACAGTTTGCAGAAGGCTCAAAGAGTGCCAGTAGTAATCACACATGCTAAAAGGGAGCTAACAATTTGCAAACCCAAATCAGTTTTTTTTTATTATTATTGGAAGCTGACTTACAAAAAAAATAAATCCATTTGTTCCTCTGGCTCAGTACTGCCTACACTGATCGTCAGTGGCCTCTAGTCTAGGGTATCTGAGAGGAATTCTACTTACAGATAGGGATATGAAGAATACTCATAGAGTAACTCATTCTCAGTAAGACAAGCTATCTCAACATGTTGAGAAAGCCGATTAAAAATCTGTTAGTCTGTGTGAGAATTCCCCACAAGAACACCAGAAAATATCATGCTGTCTGGTTAGGGACAATATTTACATCCCTCCCTAAAGATGCCAGTATCTTCTGCGTGCAACATCCACTTCAGGCAATAGGTTTCTTCAAAGATATTTTGGTGCCTCCCAATTTCTAAGCATGTTATGGAAATATGTAATTATGAAGGCCTAAATCCAAATATCAGTACGACATTTTCACCCAAGTTCATTGAAATTAGGACAATTTAAACTGGCTCCATTTGCCTATTACTTCCTTGGAATTATTAGTAAAGCAAAACTGCTGTTTCCAGAAGGCCATGCTACTAATAACATTCTGACGTCTCTATCTATCTGCAGTGGTTGGAAAGCACAATTGCAAAAAAATTATTACAACACAAGAACTATAAATGCCATCATGTAAAAGACAGAGGTCAAAATCATATAGAGGTTTTCCACATTCGTAAGGGTATTTGCACATGTGATTGTCATAATTTCCAGGCTGCTGATTGTGTGGGCATGAGACAGAAAGCTCACAAAATAGCTCACATTTACTTGTATCATTTCCCGTACATGATCACATAAGCAACAGGATTCTGGCCAGGGAAAGTATTTATTTATTTATTATATTTATTTATTTATTTGATTTATATCCCGCCCATCTGGTATATTCTACCACTCTAGGCGGCTTACAAAATAACATAAATAAATTAAAATAGCACAGGAGTAACTCATTCTGTGCACAGATCATATCCTGTGCCCACACTGTCTATATCAGCAAGCTAAATTGCCTTGCAAGTAGAGTGAAATGCACTGCAATTATGTCAGAAGCTCCAAAGGATGAGTATAAACTTCAGATGAAGCTATCAGAGCACTAAGAGTGCAAAGAGCACGACATCAAGCAAACTAAATAAGCCTTAACAATGCACAACAGAGATTTCGTTGTAATGACCTTATAGCGGAGAAACATTTTAGGACCTGGATTCAGCAAAGCAATTTACACATCAGTCCTATGTAACATAGCCTTTCAAGATTCTACTTTTTGTTGTTGTTCTTTTTATTTTCTTTTTAATGAGAAGATGGAACAGGCTGTCAGCTGAATTAACTAACATGGGGTCATGAAACAAGAACCATTTATTTTTCCCTAGTGAAGAAAATAGTTTATGAAACCAAATGCATGAGTTCCTCCCCCCTCAGTAAAACAGGCAACTTTGTGAATACAAGTACAGAGGTCAACCATGTACGGTATACTAATTCTCAGTAATCGTCCTGCAAGGTGACCTCCCCAAAGACTCAGTAGCCAATAACTGCCAAATATGATGCAGACAGCACAACTGTTCATCTATCACTATACCCATCCAAGTGTTCTGATTTCCAGGATAATATACCTGATCAGCCATTTGTTCCTTTTCTAGACATAATTGCTACTGGTTCTACTTAAAAAACCAACCAACCAACCAACCAATAACCTCCTAAGTGGAATCCATCCAGAAAAACATAAAATATGTACTTGACAGGAGCCAACAAAATCCTGATTAATACCTCAATCATTGCTGAGCAGTAAGTCCCACTGAATTATAATGAAGCTTACATACGAGCAGACAAAAACAAGAGCTGTCCTTCTTAGGAGATCGATATACAAACATATATAATAACTAAAAACTGCTGTCCTCTTTTACAAGACTGTAGTATAGGTTCATTCTTCCTTTATATACAACATTCCAACAAGCATCTTCACAGTTATGCAAGTTTCTTACAAATCACCTTAGGACAGTGGTTCCCAAAAAAGGATGCATGAAGTAATTTCAAGAGGGCTTTGGAGAAGATGAACATTATAGAACAATTTGACTGAACCAAGAAAAACTAATAATTGTATTTTAAAAAGCAACAATTCAAACTGAAGCAATGATAAATATCAAAACAGTATGGAAAAAGTCAGCTACAAAACCAGAACTCTACAATTACCCTATGTTAAAGGTTTGTCAAAAGAAAAAGGCCTTTACCATTGGCTGAAAAATCACCAATATCAAATAGATCTCTAAGAAATACATTTTGCACTTTGGGAGCCAGCACAGAATAAGTCATGGCATAAGCTAAGACCAAACCAAAGTACTGGTTATATTGCCATATATGTCTGAGATTCGGGCAGCACATGGTGCTGGGGGGGGGGGTTAAAAAAAAACACTGTAAACTATAAAGGAGATTTCTTAACACTTTCTCCTTCCACTATTTTTCTGCTGAAACACAGTATTCACCCCAGTTCTCCTAATTATATCCCCACAAATAATGCAGTGTTTTCCCCCAAAATAGTGGTAAAAAGCACCTGGATCAGGCATTTTCAGTGTAACAGTACCTCTGAAAAGAAGAATTAAGAATATCCTCTCCCTAGTGAAACTTCAGGGAGCACTGTGTATAAAAAGGAATTGCTTTATGTAAAACAAAAATAAAAACAAACTTTCTTGAAACAGCAGAATGTCTTGAAATATTCAAAATCAGGCATTTACTGGCCTAAGCCGAGCCTTAACAAGTATTGTATCCAGCAGGTATCAAGCTTATGTACAGAAGACAGAGAAAAGTGGCTGTCTCACAATATGGCGGGCCTTGCCAACTCCATTCTCTGCTGCCAGCAAAAGAGGTACTGAAAGAAACCAAACAAGACCACCCAGGGGAAAACAACACAAGTCTCATCCTATCTACCTGGCACTGCTCTATGCCCTTTAGTTAAATACTCCCAACTCAAAGAAAGATCTGGGCTGTTTGCCACTAAACATCTAGAGCCAAGATATTATGCAGATCACATAATTAATTTTAGACTAGGGATGCCAACTGAGAGATCCAGCATATGCAGCACTTTTTCAAAATATGTCTGAGAGATTGTCCTCTTTCAGGACATAATTGGCTCACAAGATTGAAAAAAAAAACAGGCGGGAGTACTACTTTTTTTTTTAAAAAAAGAATTGTTTTGAAAAGGATTTATTATTTTGAAATAAATAGAAAAGGCAAAAAGTGAATGGGGAATAAATGGTGGCACCTACAGATAAATTCATAGCAACAGTTCTTTTATTTGATATTATATCATTCACCGATATGTCTGCTGCACCAGCAAGTGTTTTATTTCATTTTAATTTTTGCTACTCTGTCTTTTACATTTGTGAATTCTTTTTTTTTTAAAGAGAGAAGGCTATCTTCCTTGACTTTCAAAAACTCCCTGAATACTCCTTTCAGTTTCAAACAGGTGAGCCTACCTGGCCATGTGTGACAGGTCAGTGATCAAATGGAGCAGGCCGGCATCACCCTCATCTTGGGAAAATTGCAGAAATGAACACCGAGCAAATATAGTCTGATAGCTTACACACTGCCGCATGCTTTTTTTCTAAGTCCAACTGCACAAAACTCTTCTTCTCTGGTTATTACAGTACTGTCTGCTGCGATTGGTTTGCACTTCCATGTTCCTTTCAGCCGAGATATAAATTGCTTGAAAAGAGTGACCTCATCCTTCTTACGACAGCAGAAATTTACCAGTCAGCTTGGAACTCAACCAGCTCTACCCTGCCCTGCTGATCAAAGCTAGTTTAAATGAACAGCACTCTCTGTCTTTAAAATGGCACTCATCTTTTGAACAAGAGTTCATTTCATGTAAAAAGGATTTATAATTGCTTGAACAAAATCAATACTCCCCTCCCCCAATATAAGTGCCTGTTACATGAATTGCTACTGCAGAGCTAAACAGCCGAAATATTGTCACTTAGAGAATGAAACACAGGTTGTTAATTAAGACACTAATCCATGAAAGCAAAACAGGATCTGTGTAATGTGTGTCTGTGTGTGTGTTTCAATACAGCCAACATCATGGAACACATGATGTGCCTGGTTAATATGATCAAGACTAACAACACTATGCCAGCAGACTTGTATGAGCAGTTCTTGCCTTTTACAAAATCAGTACTGCAACATAAATGAGAAAATTCACAGGCAAAATGTGGTGTGGGCAGGAGGAAGAAAGGGAAAAAGAAGGTGACGAGGTGAAGTAAATGCCATAAGGGCAGTATACATTAAATCAACTGTAGGTAACTTACAACATATGCAGCTAAGTCTATAAGCTTTAGCCAGGAAGCCTTTAAAATGCCACACTACGACACACAAAATCATTAGTAAAACACAGGTTTTAAAAGCAGCAGGAACGCTCACCCTTCCTTCTACCACCATTAAAGAGCCAGGATAAAGAAACCAAGAGATTCGCTAGTTCTGCTTTTCAACCACAACTCTAATTTTTGTGGTTACATTAATAATAAATGCAGTAATACACCTTGGATAAAGAAAATTAGAGGAAACACTTACGCAGCCGCCAGCAAGAATTTCTGCTGCGAAAGGAACAGAGCCATCTTTGAGCATAAATTTGTCTCTCACAAAATCGTTTACCTTTAAAAATAAACACTCCGTTAAATGAAGAAAAGCAAACACACTATTGTTTTTGAAAAAGTACAGTTCTCTGTACACAAATTCTATGTCTACGATTAATATTTTATATCTGATATTTATGCATATATAGGGAAACATACAGTTGGAAAACATATTCATTCAGCTTAAAGTTAGATGTACAACATTACAAAAGAATTTATGTATCAATGGGTGCATAAAATTAGCAGAATTTAAAACAGCATAGATTTCATATTTGTGAATATTCCTAAAAAAATAAAAAAATAAATTAAAAAATCCACCGGACAGCAGCCTGGTCTTGGAATTAAATCTTCATGATTTCATCCAAGTTTACTTTCAAAATTAATGTCCATAAAATGTCAGCATTTGAAGCTTTTGTTACAGATAGATTTATTAGCTGTTTCTTCAGCTTTAAGTATTACAGAAGAACGAAATGACTATGAAAACATATGAACAGAACTCATTTCTGTAAGATTTTGATCAAGCAACTTCTATTACTTTATTAGATAATAAGAGGGGAGAAGTCTTATGCCTTTTTTGTAATGAACAGCATGAAACTATTGAACTGAACACTTCACATGAGGCTACCTGATAAGAATCTTTAGTCAGGCTTTCATCCAAAACACAAAGAATCTAACCACACTGTACTATATGCCAACAGCATAAAGTTAGTTCCTGATAATTCTGGATGGGAGTATTATAAAGGGAAGATGTGTGCATATACAGTATTATATTCCGCCAGTGTGGCCAAGATCAGTCATGTTTTTACACAACCACAAATGCATGATAATCCAATTCAAAGGTAAGCTGCACTGAGCTCATGACTCTTATTTCCAGGGAAAAGTATACAAGACTGGAGCCTAATTTCTGTCACCAGAAATTAGAAGATACTAAACAACAACAACAATATAGTGTACTACCAATTTTTGCATTCAACTTACAGTAAGTTTTATGGCCTTTTCTGGGGCTACTCCCAATAACTGTGGCAAAAGACCTGTAAATACACAATGAACACAAATATGTAAAACATGGCATTCATTTCACATGGGTGAACTCAAGGTGCGAGCTTTAATATTTCAGGAGCAGAAAGCAATTTTAGGGTAATTTTCAGCTGTAATATTTAAAACCATGGCCTTCAGTTTCACTGTGGTTTTAAATAGAGCTAAGCAGGGATATACATGATAGGACATGCTGGAGGTCACTCACTCATAGAATCTAAACCAAGTATTTTCAACAGGGGCCAAATGTCCCCCCCCCAGGGGGCCCTGGGACATTTAAAGGTGACTACAGACTGGAAACACATTACTTTATAAGGTTCATTATATGACTCATTATATGACTTTGACCTGTATTTCTTTCATATTGTGGTTATGGCCATGACTAAAAAAGGGTTGAGAGCAGCTGGAGAAAGAGTTATCCAGACACTCAATTTCTATATGTTCCTAAGTTACTTGATGCTCCCAAAAGCTTATGCCAAATAAAACTTGTTAGTTTTTGATAAACTGCAGGACTCTGGGATGGGTGCGTTTCTGCCTTGAACTAACATGGCTACTATCCTGCTAAATTCGTGTGTTTGTAGGATCAAATGGTCAGGAAGTTCATGTTGGCAAACGTCTAAACTTCTATATAATTAAATTCAGGAACCTGTAGAATTAGCACAGTGATACACAAAATAAACAGGAAGGAAGAAGACATGATATACAGGCTGGAAGCTGTTTCATGTTTATATTGAGATTTCTGTTATCAATTGTTCTGAAATAAAATATTGTAAGACATAAGCAAAGTACAACAGGAAAGATTCTGTGTCAAGGAAAAAGAGCAATGTTACAAAAGAGAGAGAGAGATTAATTTCACAAGCAAGAATTTGTTGTAGGATAATTTACCACTTGCTTAACAACTATTTCTGAAAAAGTCAACAAAACAAAAAAATACAGTTACACTAATTTTCATGTTTGAGTAAAAATAGTTTACAGGGCTTTTTTCCAACATATTTTGAGAATGCATTCATCTTAAGGTATTCCAAATGAGACAATGAGCAACATTATAGTTATTTTACCACTTTGCTCCTTTTCATCAGTGTTTGTGATTTCTTGAGATTTTCAAGCAAACCAATTTTGTGCAACTACTGCTTGCCTGATCTCTCAGTAATCTTTAAGTCTGCTTTTTGAATCGCTGATACTAGAGCAATGCCAGAAATCTGTGGGAGAAAATTGCTTTACCTGCTCAGTGCCTGAGGTCAAGTTAATTTCTTATCTCCATTAAAATCCAGACCACTTAAATTCCATTGATTTAAATAAGGTTTGAATCTGCCTTAATGTCTTTGTTTTGGGCAAAGAATATATATAATACTGTCCAGTCATGACAAGAGACAATATTTAGGTAAAGGTAAAGGGCCCCCTTGACATTTGGTCCAGTCCAATTCTAGGACTGGACCAAATGTCAAGTCCTAGAGTTGCTCATCCCCGTCTCCAAACCCTAGAGCCAGTGTTTGTCCATAGACAGTTTCCATGGTCACCTGGCCAGCACAACTAGACATGGAACGCCGTTACCTTCCCACCGTGGTGGTACCTATTTATCTCCTCGCGTTTATATGCTTTTGAACTGCTAAGTTGGCAGGAGCTGGGTCAAGAGATGGGAGCTCGCTCCGTCGTGTGGATTCGATCTTACGCTGCTATCTTCTGACCTTGCAGCATAGAGACTTCTGTGGTTTAACCCGCAGTGCCACCACGTCCCTGTTAGGCAATAATTACTCCTCCTTATTTCCTTGGTATTTCAACTGAGGGGAGAATGTGAGCATCAAACTGTTAAATTAGGGCTGGGTAACCGTGGCACTCCAGATTTTTTCAACTGCAATTCCTATAATCCCTCACTCACTGGTCTTAGTGGTCAGGGTTGATTGCAGTTTCAGACATTCAATATCTAGAGGACCACTGCTGGCCCAATGACTAAGTATAAATGCTTGAATTCAATTGTTAACTCCAACTAGATTAGAGTGAATCTTTGGAACTTTCTGAAGTGTTCACATATAAAATTCTCATTAATTCAATGGGTCTACTCTAGATAGGACAAACAACTGAATTTAGGTCAAAGGAAGAAAGACTAACACTAGTTATTGGCTTAGTAAAATGCTGAAGAACTTTCCAGAGGCACAGCTGTGTTGGTCTTTTGCAGATAACCAACAACCAAGCAATCCTAAATCATAGGTGCACCAGCTGTAGGGGACAGAAGCCTGTTCTCCTGCCAGAAGTCTACTTATGTCAGATAAATGTTCTGGCTTCTCACAAAGACTTGCCAGCAGTTAAGATATGTCGGCAGGGGAGGGAAAGCAAACAAGCAAGAAAGAAAGAAAAGGAAGAAAGGAAAAGAAAGAAAAGGGGGAACATGATGGGAAAGTGTCCAAGTAAGAGAGATCCCAGTTTTGCCATATCAAAACATCCTCCAACCAAAGAACATAGTCACTATGTTAGGCCAAAGTGCGGATATCCCTAAGTAATTTCCAAAACACCTAAGCTCGGAGGGGGTCTGGATTCAGCACAAATTCCACTGTCCTGATGGCTCCCTGCTGTCTTGGCTTGCTGGGACTGTGCCCAGAGTCTTGCGGCACTTTAAAAACTGCCAAGCGTACATAGCATATGCTTTTGTGGACTGTCGCCCACATCCTCAGAAGAGGTAGGCCTGCGGTCAAAGACAGTTGACATCATGTTGTTATAGCAGCAATGGCCAGCCAATGTAATTGGGTGAGAACCAGGATTCTGAAAGCAACTATTTGTTGCTTTTAAAAAAAAACCCTTAGGAAACAGAGGTGTCAATTAGCAAAGAATGCAATATGCTGCATATATCCAATCGCTCACATTTTCTCCTTAAAACTTTGTTTACTAGAAAGCGTTGCTAAATAGAAATCATCTGTCAACATTTTGCCAAAACAAGCTAGCAACAACTCCAAGCTGTATTAAAAACAAAGAGACAGCAACTTGCCTTGTGTTTAACTGCTGCAAGGTAGAAGATGTGCCTAGAGAAGCTCATTGCTCTACAAACATGTTATAATTAGGGACAGGTGAGTTCTAACAGTTTGGCCCTAGATTTGTCTGGTGATTTAAAAATGGACCACACGTCAGCTTTCCTCTGGTTTCACCTTTTCCTTTCCCCAAATTACTGAAAGTGAGGAATGGGAATAGGGATGCTTCCAGAGGCAGCAAAACCTCAAATGCTGCGGCTGCAAACACACACAGCACTGTATGGGCAGTTGGAATCCATGGTAACGTAGTTGTGCACAAGATCACAGGAAGCTGCCTTATACTGGGTCAGATTATTGGTCCATATAGCCCGCTCCTGTCAGCTCTAATCAACAGCTGTTCAAGGCTTTCAGGTAGATTGTTTTCCAACCCATTGTATTCCTCCTGTCCAACTATCAACTAGGCTTGACCCAGCCCAGCTTCCAAAATCAGACGAGATATATGTTTTCAGGTTTAATATAGGAGTAATTTCTGTAAATGCCACAAGAATGTTGTGGCTAGTGGACAGGGCAAAAGAGAACCCATGCTGTGCACATGGGATAAGACAGAACCAATGAATGGGGAAAGATTAATTGATTAAAGCTTCAAAAAGGAGACCTACTCAACACTAGGAAAAATCAGTATAATAAAACAGAGATTCATGCTCTATCCCCCAAAACAAGTGAATGTCAGAGGTTCCCGTTTTGGGCCAACAAACAGAATATAGAAATCTGTTTCTGGCAGCAATTTTTTACTTTCCATTTACCCTCAAGTAAGACATATTTAGATACTGACCTCTGTAAAGCCCGAAGAATCCTTCATACCGTAGCACTTTCTTAAAGCAATCAAAGCTGTTCTTATACATCAGCTCCCCAATAAATGACCCAGTGGAGCGCTGGTTCTGCATCCGAGTTTTCACAAGGTCAATAGGATATACGGCAGTGGCACCAACAGCTGTAAGTTATTTTGCAAACAAACAAACATATGATAAAATCTCTCTTTGTGTAGCAAGTTCCCTTTGCATCTTATTTACTTTAAGCCTATAATGTGCCTGGCATTTGTTAACCATATGAAATGTTAGAGATCATTCATTCATAGGGTTGTGAAAAGCTGAAAGTACTTTGACACAATAACAGTTGTTATGGTTCTAGAACAGTTGATGATAACATAATTTTTAAAGGTGTTTTTTTTTTTTAGAAATATATGTAGGTGAGCCAAGTTAAAATAAACCAGCAAAGAACAAACTAGATGGAGACCAAGAACCTGAGATTAATATCATATACACATAGAGATCTCATTTTTTGTGTGCTCACCTTCATCCACTCTCAAGAGGGAAACAACATCAGGGTTGAGGGAAACCCTAAAATCCGTACACATGCAAAGTGCTTTTGGCGGGCAAGGTATATATGAAATAATCCCAAAATGCTCAGAGAGAAATGAGCGGCTGTGTTTAGAGCCACCTATCTAAGGTGATTTAGAGTGTCACGAAAGGGCAGCATCCCTTGTAAATGTGTCAATTGCTTTCTAGTGGCAAGGAGGGGAAAATAAGGAAGGAGAGGAGGGTTGGTGAGGGGGGTTTGCCTCAGCTACCAGCACACTCAAGGCTGCCTTATGTGCATCTTGGCTTGGGATATGTGGGCTCTACTTTCTGCTCCAACTCAGAGAACCTAGTTGCCTAGGCCAGCCTTCCTGGTGAGATAGTGAGTGTTAACTGACAGTTGATGGGATGAAAAATGGAAGCCTTTTTTTTTAAAGGCATGGCTCACTGGACTCCTAAATGGGGACATTTGACATTTTGTTGTAAGCTCCATTTGTAATTCCTACAGTATGCTTAATAGAATCCCTAAATTGTTAAGACTAAACAGCAGGAGAGGCCAAATCATTCTTTTATATTCTGGCCATAAACTATAGTTATGCACTATTATGCAAGAAAAGATAGACAATGTAGTGTTTCATTCATTCATTCATTCACTGATTCACTAACCTCCAGCAACTGAACCAAGGGCAAACCGGTATGCAGATTCTGCTATCTGGACAAGTATGGGACGAGACACATCACCTGGAGCTTGCTGCACAAGTTGCATTTAGCAGAAAGGTTGGACATCACAGAAGAAAAAAGTTGATGAGAAGACAGAGTAACATTTCTGTGACTACACAGATCAGCGTAAAGTAAGTGGCATCAGATATATATATACATATCAGAGTAAATTAAGCATCAGATATATATGCACACATGGAAAAGGTAGTTTAGAAAATATAGCATCTATAACAATGGAACTTACGGCACCTTAGAAACTTGGAGGTTTTATCTGATTTAACCTTTGGTGGACTGCAAGTTGCTTCATCGGATGCTGTTACAGCTGTTTGCTACAGTGTACAAAAACTTCAAGGTTTTGCAACAAAACCTTTATGGGTTTTGCTGCAATAGACTAAAACAGTTACATGCCCCAGATATTTCTGTATTATATTAGTGCACTTATTTTATTATAATTATTACATTTATATTCCATGTTCATTCCTAGGAATATAATGTGACACCCATAGGTGCCAAAGTGGTCTCGTACCTAGACATATCCACAACACATGCCTTCAGGCTATGCCTAGCTTGCAATTCAAACTATAACATTTATTTATTCAGTATACAAAGCGAGTGACAGATCCGCAGAATACAACTAGCTCTCCACACAACAAAGTGAGATCTATCCCTGCTGGTTATTTTTAAAAACCAGTCACGATATAAAATTAAGAAAAACTGCTCTTGCTCCCAAAAATTTTTCTAGAAAATAAGAGTAAAACGTACGTTAATTATATGAGAAAAGAGAGGAAACAGAATACATTATTTCCCTTCACTACTTTTGCTATGCTCATCTTGATCACCACAGGGAGAAACAGAGCAAGGAAAAAGTCCTTCCCACCAGGGGCCATTTTAATCCACATACACATGAGAAGATACAGAAGAAAACAGTCTGGGTTTCCTACATAAATAAAGCAATAAAATATACTGCTCAGTTTATTGAACAACCGTGACTTGTTTAATCCTAATCTACCAGAAAGAAAATATTAAATTCAGAATTAAACTGAGGTGAACAAAGTAACTTTCTCCAGCTGTGGTGATAACATACGTAATGTTGAGCAGAGAAGCTACCAACAATCTCTGATGTGGGGGTCATAATGCTGAGTATCTGTTTCAGTAATCTTTGATACAGGTTTTAGGGGTGAATTCATATGACTCTACCACCCTACTATCTTCATTTCTAAGGCAAGGCTAAAAACAAGCTGCTGTGGGGTGATGCTGGGTGGGAGGAGGGGGCAGGACAGGAGGCAGCCAAGTGAGGAGAGCCTGGCTTGAGGCCTATTAGACCCAAAAATGTAGCCTGCATCAACTCATTGTGGTCAAACTGGCGTCTCTGCACAGACCTAGAGCACAGAAAGAGGGGGGAAACCCTCCAGCTCTCAACATAGAGAACTTGGTTTGACTTAAGTGATAGTTTTAGAAAAACAGAGCTACACCCAGGTCTGTGCTAGCTTTTTTCAATATATGAAAGAGACCAATAAAACATTTTTGAAAGTTGGCTCAGTCTTTAAAACTGTGTTTTGCGCCACATCACTTTCCAAGATCCCCTGACCTACTCTACCACACACAAACATTTTAAAATTATGCTTAAATTTAAGAAAAACAAATAGCCGCACTTTGTTTTCTCCATGATCTCAGAGATTTGAAACTACTGCAAGAGACAATGCCGAGCTGGGAAGCAACAGGAGGACAACAAAGGCTGCAATATTAAGCACAGAAATTCCGCGATGAGATTGGTAGTGGTTGAAAGGGAATCACTAAGGAGGATTGGGAGGGGATCAGAGAGGGAGGGAGGGAGGGAGGGTTTGGAGAAAGGGGTTTAGTAGGGAAGATCTAAGGGCGGAGTGAGATGGGCAACGAAGTAGGATGTGGGCTACTGTGTCGGGTTCACGAAGGCAAAATGTACATTTCTGTTAACCATTCTTATGAGCAACCGCAACCCCCATCCCTCCCAATTTTAGTTCTAACCTGTCCCTTATATTCTCTACCTAGCAACTTGTTTATTTCTCTTTAATGTAATCAAATGCCAATAAAGGTCTATGTATGTATGTATGTATGTATGTATTAAGCACAGTTACCTAAGAATATACCTCATTGGACTCAGTGTAATTTTGCTTCTAAGTAGGCGTATAGAGGGTTGAACTGCAAAAGACCACATATCTCTGAGCAAAGACTGACTTAGTAGAATAGAAGCCAAAACTGGCATCATTAACATGACCGGGGAAATACTACTTCCTTCATGGAAAGTATTCCAAGAAAAGATCAGGGAAGGTTACACCACTACGTTTTGTAAGTGAACTAAAACTCTGCCTCCAAAAGATTAAAATGAGATCCTGACTTTTCTTTTTAAACATTATTATCAAATCCTTAGGGCTTCTATTCTTGAAAAGGAAAAAAAAAATACACACGGACATACACACATACAGAACGTTTCAGGTTTTTAGTTGAGTGCAGATTTAACTACATTATTTTTTTAAAAAAATTCTAACATTTACTTATCAAAGAAGTAGACCAAACTCAATGGTGAGGTTGCCAAGCACCCCAGAGGGCTTGCTGCTTGGAAGGACTGACACATGGCAAGAAATGCATGCTCACTCTCCCCTTCCCCTTCGCCCTCACCTGTCTCTGAGCTTCAGCCAGGTTGTAAGGCAAAATGCCCTCCTCCAAAGGTGCAATTCTTTCAATGTCAGCCATTGTCATGCGCCTGAGGAGACAAGGTGATCACAAAAAAAGTATGCTCAACGCCATAGTGTTTGTTTCCTTTCCTTTTTTCACCCCATAGCAAAAGGGGGAGGGGGGGAGAGAAGGGTAATTTTTTCAACTTACCCCCGTGGCTCGTATAAATCTGCTAACTGGAACAAGATGTCAACTTCCATGGGTGTAACCTGGCCAAATTTCTGAGCTGCCAGAACAAACTCCTCTGCAACAAAAGGTAGGGCAGGGCAGAGAGGAAAATACAGAAGGGGAAACTAATCAAACAACACTGAAAGTTACCCACAAATGTCCCAGAATCACCAACGTTTAGTATTGAATCAATATGTTGCAAGAGAAGGGAAAATACCACAAATCGTGTGCCTGCCAAAGTGTAAATGTATGTTTTAAATACTCTATCCATCATGCAAATAGGAGAGCCAGTCTAGTCTTATAGCTTAGTGCTAACAGCAGGATTTAGGATATTTGACATACGGTATCAATCAGTCTTGTGGGTCAGAGTAGGGGGAGAGGAAAAAAAGGAGACAGAGAAGTGGAAGTTTTCTTGCATGTGTGTCCCAATAGGTTACATTAATGGAGGATTGGCACTACAGAAGGAGCTCGCTATAAAAGCGGTTAGATAGAGTTGATAACATCTTGTTCCAAGCTTGTAGATCAGCTTACTGCAATGCCAGTACAAGTTTATGGAATTTCGCAACTACCCTTGAAGGTCACTTTAATAGGCTGCCAATTTGGCACAAATCCGAGGAAGTCTTTACACTGATTACTTGCTCTGCCCTGCCTTTCGGACCTTAGTCTTTCTCTGATATACATAGGCATATATACATAAATTTTTATGAAGAGGTACCCTCCTAAATCACTGACTGCAACAGATAAATGTAACAAGTAAAGCACATGCACTACAGTTCATTTGGGCAGTTCCTTTTAATAATAGTGCTGTTATATTATCCTGAAAAAAATGAGGGCTGGGGGGGAAACATTTCTATAAAAGCTTCATAGCCATATTTCAACTAACCTTTAGTAACTTCCACATCTTTCCGATGTCCTGCCAGGGTACTGTAGATTTTTCTAATGAGTTCCATGTTATTAAGAAGGGTATTAAATCCATTAAAATAGGAAAAGCTGACTTGGTGCGAAGTGGTACCCCCAGCAGCCTGGAATAAAGACAGCAATAAGGAAAGCAGAAAAGGAAAACAAACGTATTAGATATGCTTCATTTTTAATCATACAATTTTAACATTTGGGGGTGGGGAAGAGAAAGACTTTTGGAATGTTGTTAGTTTAAGAAATGGCAACAGAAGTAGCAAGGGATTTTAAAAATGCAAAATGGGAAGAAAAAACCTATAATAGATTCTTAAGTTACTGAAGCTAATCATGACCAGCATGCAAGTTGCTCCCCCTGTTCTAAGGAAACCTAAACAAATACATATGCAGGATTATAACAACATGGCTAGTGGTAATTTACAGAGTTCAAGTTTCAATACTGCTGCAGTCAAAAATGTTTTATAAGTTGCTTTATTTCTTCTAATGAGCAAATCTCAAAGGTTTAAAAATGCCGAGTGTATTAACATTTGAATTGGGCAGGGTAGAAACGGGCAAAATCAAATCATGCTACAGGAAAACAAAGGGGGGGGGCAGGGCACATTAATATTTAAATCTAGAGGACTCCCATATCACCTACGGAAAGCAACAAATCCTCTCTTAAGTCACCCGAACTTTTGCATTTGCCATCAGTTCACCTGAGTAAAGAAAACACTCTATCTTTAAAATGGCTGGGTGCTATTTACTCCCAACTATCGCTAAATATTGCAATGAGAAACTGACTAATTTGGAGAGGGGGGTGTAATACATGATCCCACAGCCTCGCACAGCAAAACAAATCATTTCACCCACAGTATGACTCAAGATTTTAAACACCATCATTTAATGATTTTAGTCTTCCTGAATAAGAGAACTAAAACAAGAAAGGCAACATGTCCATTGATCGCTGGGGAACGGTTCACATCTTTGAAAATGACTTGCAAATAAGGTAAACTGCATGGATATCAATATGCAAAAACTTACTGCAGCACAACTGCTAATTAAATATATATTTCTCTCTCTGTGTGTATGCATGTACAGTATCTATAATGAGGCACCAGAAGTGCACAACAGGCTGCAGTCAAACCATGTTTACTCTATTGAATTATTCTTCTATGAACAGTCTGCTTTTTAAAATCAGGAGTTATAGCCACATATACGAAACACTGTTTCAAACATTGTAAGAACATGGCATTTGGGTTTTTAAATTTTTTTGGGTCATTGTTAGCATTCTCTTGGTGCTACTCTTGCTTTATACTCGACATACCACTTCTAGCACACAAATCTGTCCTACACTGAGCCAGGTTCCTGTTACTCCTGAGCCAGGATCCTGTTACTTTTTTGGACTACAACTCCCAGCATCCCCCAGCCAAGATGGCCCTATGCCATATTATTCACTAACTAGGAACTGTGCTTCCTATGGCAGCATACACAGATTGCTGAGTGTTTGTAATTTAACAGTGTTTCAAGTTGTCTTCAATCCAAACTTCAAAAGAGGTAATCAAAGAACATTTTAAATCTCAATGAACCATCTGAGTAGGACACCAGGAAACATTAACAACTCAACACCAGAGCTCAGTATGATTAGAAGTAAACAGATACAAGCATTGCCATTCTCAGGTCTAACTAAGGGATAATATTTGAAAAGCAATTTTTACCATATAAAAACCATGTAAGAGATAGAGCCACACTGCAGATACTTTAGATGGTGGTTGCCATGTTAAAAAGTCTGTATTGGAGAGGACTGAAATTATTTTTAAAAAAACCCTTCAATCTGCAAAGAAAGTAAAGTCCAGTAAATATCCAAACTAACTTCATCTGCACTCATTTTATCCTTCTTGCATTGACTAAATATTTTAGAGAAAATGGAATTCATTTGTCACAGTACGACAAGTCTTTCTGTTTTATCTATGAAAGTGCTGCCCAGCTACATTTCAACATCCTCATTTCCATATATCTATGCTCAGTGGTCCACATGCCCCCAAACAATGTTCAGATAAAGATTAGACCATAAACTGAAAGGTATTTTCCTTTTCCTTTAATGATTTACATCTTAGTGTTGTCTCTTAGCATTCTAAAACTTAAATGGTTTGATATTATTTTGGTTGATTTGTTTTTACAGTAAAAATTCTAAATTTATGTATTGCTTTTGTCTTTTACATTTGTAAACAGCAAAAGGTCACTTTCAGCTTGGGCCATGTATATAAACATTTTAAATAAACAAATCTGGAAACTTTTGTAAGCTGCCTTTGGAATCATAAGACTGGAGAAAAGAGGGGGGAACGTCAAAATAAATAGTATTGAAGGGAAAAAGGAGGGAGGAACATTGGGAAAAAATATAGTTGTTCTTGCTTTTATTTGACCTACAGATCACCTTGGTGACATCAAGGAAATACTGTTTATGCACAGTAACACAGACTAAAATGTTTATTGTTTTCAGTGTTACTAGAAGAAGGTCTGGAAAAATACAAGCAATGGAATGGAGCTACCCGTATCAAAGCTACCTCAGGGCCTACTTTCAAGCTGTCTGCAGAACTAGGGAGCTATTGAAATTGTTAAGCAGGTCAGCATGCCAGAAATAGCTGCTTGAAATATTCTTATGCACACAAAACCCTTTGTTAGGGTCAAATGTGCATAGACCATTATCTCTAAAATGAAAGCTAAGATGAGGGTGAATCGCCATCCATATAAGAGGTCATGCAAAACATCATGCATCCTGTGGATTACACTAAACTTGTTTAAAAACATGCAAAGCAGATGTGAGCTCCCAGCTCACCATCAATTTCCAAAGTGGCCTGTGGTAGTGAAGTCGTTAGCTTTCCAAACAAGACTTTCATGCATAACTGCCCTGGCAGGGAACAGGAGCTTGTTGAGATAGCACATTAAAAAAAATTACCCTGATGGTGCAACAGGTCATCTGATACAGCTCAACACTGCTGGCTACTACTGTGAGCCTGATAAGACAATATCACGATCTTCTGGAGAGGAAAACTTTTGCATGAATAGCTAAATAGATATGTAATATATCAATATAACTCCTTTTTCTTGGATCCAAAGCCTGGGGTATGGATACTAGCAAAAAGAAAAAGAAAACAACAGAAAAGTAACTTTGAAGTCAATAACATATTCCTACCGCCTTCTGTGTACAGTACTTGTCTCTGTGGGACCCCAGTCACGGCAATAGTCTCTATGTAAGACTAAAAACAGCAAATAACTTACTGCTACTAGACATTCCTCAACAAAGGGTGATAGCATATGAGGGCAAATCGTGACCATAATGTCTCTAAAGTCAATGGCAGTGACTTTTCCGGCTTGAGTGTTGTCTCGCTGTATAAATGCTTGTTTTGCATGTTCCAGCTGGATTTCCTGTAAAATATAGAAAGCACAGAAAAGTAATGCTGTTAATTAGCTGCCTAGAGTGGTCTTAACCGACAAGATAGGCGGGATATAAATAAAATAAATAAAATAAATAATAAATAACCCTGTCACATTCTGCTATTTAAATGTATTGCACAGAGAGTTAAGCTAGAGGATAAGGGGAATGCTTAACAGGCCTCAGCAATAAGGTTTGGAAATTAGACCAATGTTGACCTTTCAGTGACCAATGCAAAATACACAGTTGAAGACTACGGCATGCTATGACAAATTATGCATTTATCCATGAAGCATCACCCATATAGGTGCAAGATGTATCATCAAATTTGACTAGCATAATTCTTTAAAGGCACAACAGATACCTCTAGACTAGTGGTTCTTAACCTTTGTTATTCAGGTGTTTTTGGACTGCAATTCCCAGAAGCCTTCACCATCAGCTCTGCTGGCTGGGGTTTCTGGGAGTTGCAGTTCAAAAGCATCCGAGTAACAAAGGTTAAGAACCACTGCTCTAGACTACCACAGCTCAGTGGTCAATCTCATGTATTCTATGTAGATGGTAGCAGGTTTGATTTCCAGATTAGGAAAAGGTGGATAAAGTTCAAGGATACACCTTCAGTCCACTATGAATTGTGCAATACTGGCCCAAGATGGTCCAAGAGTCTGACTCAGTATAAGACAGCTTCCTGCTCTGAGAAATCTTTTGGAGACCTTCAGCTCATCTTGTGGCATGAAGATGTCCAAACGTTTCTTAAGAGCTCATGAAGAGGTTACAAAGACTAACACAGATTTCGTTTGTAGTGCCGACATGTTCTCAAATGTCATCTTAACCTACTACAGACCCAATTTCTGTGGAAATCAGGTCTTGCTGATTAATGCCTGTGTAATTGCACTTGGAATTGCCATGTTTACGTTAATTTGTAAATAGTGGGCAGCAAGATTGCAATTTTATTTTACCAGTGACTCAATTAAATATTCCAAAGCCTGAAATATACTTGTACTGTATAAGGTTCAAACCAAATAACCCTTTCTACTGAGAAGAAAGATATGGCTACATACGAGCTTCTACAGAGGAAAGGTGAGTGTAAAGAGACAGGTCAGATGGAAGAGCTAGGTGGGGGAAGCCATAAAGCGAACTTAACGTGTTTAAGGGAATCTAGAAACTATAGTCCCAGAAAGTTAATTTTATATGTTCTGGCCAGAATCAAGAGTTCCCTGTTTTGTGAATGGAACTCTGCTCTGAAATCCATGGATCTGGCCCAGTCCTCACTTTTTACTGTACTTTTCTTAATTTTCTTCATTGTTTGCTATACTTTAATATCAGGAATTTGTTTCCTTGATGATGCAATAAACAGTTTGAAATCCAAATGGTTCCCTGTCTACAGAAATGAGAGAAAGAGACCCTAATAGGTAACTACTCCAAATTACCCAAAGTCTGCAAAATATTCTTAGCTTTAGCGTTGAAGACACGGGCATGATCCAAGCAAAATCAAGTCTTACTGATTTCAACAAGGAGTTAAGCATATGCCTTCCTTCCCCACTGAAACTAGTGGACTAATTTTAGGTTGGACCATGCATATCAACTTAGAAACAGCATAGTGTAATTTATCTGGAGTTCAAAAATGCCTAATATCTTCCAGTTTTGCAGCTGACTCCTGCTGTGAACAGTTCATTCTAATAAACTCAGCAAGGTATGGGTTAAAGCAGCTCCACAGGAAAAAAGAAATTTCAACTGCTGCTCAATGCAAAATAAAGGACTCACCAAACCTCCCCTAGATTGGAAGTGCTGTAATCCCTCCACGTAAATTTAAAAACAGCCTCAGTTCCTTGATGTTGGGAGTTTGCATTCTTAAAAGCCACAATAAGTGTTTATACAAAATTAATTTGCAGTTGATAACAGGAACTCTGGCACCAGAGCTTAATGAAAAGATTTCCCTACTTGCTATTCTGTCTTTCTCTGTCACACACACACACACAGAGAGAGAGAGAGAGAGAGAGAGAGAGAGAGAGAGAGAGAAACTTCCACAAGAATAAACCCTCCCAGGCTCTGTTTTTCCTGTTACAGCTCATAAAGCTATTTTATTTTCTAGGTATGCAGAGATTATGTTCAGGTACCACCGATATTTCCAATTGAAAATTCTTCATTTGACGCAGCACAGCCCTTCCCACCCCTGCATAATGTGAGGTCCGATTGACAGGTATTATTACCTCATCAACGAGTGTGCCAGAACGGAACAACACACTAGCTTACATTTGAAGTTATTTAACAAAGCCATAAAATGAGCACATGTAAAATATAATGTGAAAAACTGATGTTAAGACTTTGGGCAAAGACAGAAGGCTTTCAGAACAAATATTACTAAAGCCCAATTCACTAGTGAGAAATTCCCTCTTTCTTGGTGGGAAAATATCCTTATTTGTGCATTCTAATGAATAATTATTTTCAGAAATACTAACATGATCTCCTCTTCACTTAAAAATTCACCTTCAGCCATCACAGAAGAATAATCTGACAATTATTTAATCTTGTGTTATTTGCACAACGACTCATGCAAAAAATTTCAAGGTGATGTACCTGTAAGTCACAAGAGAGGCTGCTCCTTAACTGTCCCAACAGCTTGTGAGGTGCATGAAGATAAGAACTGATAACCACCAAGTAACATTGTGCCAAAATTCCAATTACTGAAACACACTAACTCTTTATTTATAGCTAAAACTATTAGGAAAAAAAAACCACACCAAACAAACAGAACTGAAGGCCTATTTTATTTAGGCCAGTTTCTCCAGACTAGCATCCTCTTTCTATAATTAATCATGCTCACAGAGTTTCCATTTAAAATACACATTTCTATCGAAGAGGGTCCACCATTTGATCATCTTAAATGTAAGCAGAAAAGAAAAGCTTGTGGATATTTAGTACTAATTCCCTCTATGTTCAGTGAACTTAAATATATTTACAGCTGCATAATCTACCCATTTATGCAAAATGCTCTGGACATGCTGACTACAATAAACTCTGTTTTGCCTATTCCCAAGAGATTTTTACTTCCCATCTAAAATGTAAGGAAGAGAAAGACAGGTTGTTTACAAGGGGCTGAAATTCTTCAGCCCCTTATTTATTGGTTGGTTCAGTAACTTTAAATTTTATTTATTTATTTGATTTATATACCGCCCATCCGGCAGCCAGGGCCACTCTGGGCAGTTGAAAATAGCCTGGGAGGGAGAATACCACGAATGTTCATAAATGCGGCCTCTGCCAGAACTGTAGGTTTCAAATCCATTTCAATGGGCACACCACGTAAAGCTGAATCAATGAGAATGCTGCCTGAAGGATTACGCGAGTTATTGTTCTGCACATCTAGAGGATCATCATTTAAAACTGTAGAGCTGGAAGGGACCTTTTGGATCACTGATTTAAGCCGCAGTCAAGGAGGCGCAATGGGAAATCAAACTCCCAGAGTTCTGCAGCCAGAGACCTAAACCACTCAGCTATCAGGTCCAGCACTGCCCATTCTGCCCATTCTATTTTGGTATCAGTGTAACATAGTAATTTGTTATTGTTATGTGCTATCCGGTTGTCTCTGATTTATAAAGGTAAAGGTTCCCCTTGACATTTAGTCCAGTTGTGTCCGACTCTAGGGTGTGGTGCTCATCCCCATCTCCAAGCCGTAGAGCCAGCGTTTGTCCGTAGACAGTTTATGTGGTCACATGGCCAGCGAGATTAGGCATGGAACACCGTTACCTTCCCACCGTGTCACATTTACATGCTTTCGAACTGCTAGGTTGGCAGGACTCTGACTTATATCAACTATGTAAACTAGTGATTTCCAAAGGTCTTATCAGCAAGAGGTCTCGCTTTCCTTTTTGAATCAATCCATGTCAACTTATTGTCTTTATAGTGACCCTTGTCTTCATACAATGTGCCAAAAGTACAATAGCCTCAATTTATTACAATTTTAGAAAACCTTTTTTTGGCTCAAAAAGTCCCATTGTGCTCTCTAGGGGGTGTGGGAGCCCTTTTTTGGACACCTCTCAGGACGATGTAAGACTAATACATGGTGTGAGAGGGCTTTTTCAGTTAAAAAACACTTTCAATAGAAAGAAATGAGGATAAGGAACACTGGAATGGATGTAGCCTCCAGGGTCCAGGGATGGCCATGTACAGCACTCACACCCTGGAAAGTTGCCCACCACTGCATAGTGAAGCTAGAAATTAAATTTTAGTTGCAGAGCTAAGCAAAAAAGTCAATGAAAAGTCTATCTGGAAATATTTTTATCCAGTCTTCTATACAGTTTCTCCTAGGTGGTAGAAAAAAACATCCTTCTTTGCCAGTAGATGCTATCCCATATAACCAACTATGTTGTTTTCCAAGGTCATTCCCAAGAAGAATAAGTCTGTGTTGACTTTTTTTGGAACTGCCTAGGACCTGCCACTTAAGAACCATAGTTCTGGTTAATCCAGATAACTGGGATGGTGCAGACTCAAAACAAAATGTGATGCATTCAGAAAAACTGTTCAGAATATTTAATTCATGGTGATTTCCAATCACTACCATAAAAATTTTTAATTGAATGGGAGTGGGGGAATCACAACTTGCCAGGAGATTGTTCCATTGTTTTCCTTTCCTAAAGAGAACTATTTCTGACATGCAGATTGCAACAAGATCCAATGGTGGCAGAATAATCAGGTTTGACAGGCAGCAAGGAGTTACAAGCTACTTGTAATTTCCTTTACTTTATTTTTATAAACCCATATAGCAGGTTGAAATGGGAATCGGCAAAATAATATTGAAAAGACACCATAGTATATCATCTGGTGCAAATTAAGAGAAATATAAAAAAGCATTTTCACACTGTGACCTCCTGCTGTCTTAAGGTCCAAGGTCTAGACACCAGAAAAAGGTGAACCAGTCCATATACACGGAAAGCATCAAAAGACAAGGGTTAAATACCAATGCTTGATGAACTCATTTTTTAAAAAGGTGAACAGCAAC